TCGCCCCCTCATGGGCCCCTCATGTTCGGACCGTCTTGGGCCGTTAGGCTCTCGAGAACACCCTCCTATGCTGATCATGATTGGATGTAAGCGCACTATTCCCACATGGCATCCGTCCAAGTCTCCAAGAAAGACCAGGACAGGACAAGCAACCTTGGCAAAATGACCCCCCCCTCCATCTTTTGTCGCGACCGGCTACATCCCGTCCGAAGGAATAGGCTTGCGGTAGGTCAGTTAATGTACCTGGCAGACGAGACAGACCCGGCAGTAAATCATTCAAGGACCCTGAAATTCTGCATTGACAAGTGATGTGTCTTTTCTCTGAGGACAAATCACGGGCGTGGATGATTTACATAAACCTTGCCCGCCAGCTGCTTACTTCTATACTCATCAAAGGTTGATGATGGACTTGATGTGTTAGGTGTGTGGTGTGTCTTGTTCCCTCGTCAATGCAAGTTGAGACGTGTGCCATTCCATATCCCCATGCAAAGGCCCGCTCTTCTACTCTCTGTCTCTCTCTGCCCCTCCCAAAGAACCGAACAACATGAGATGATGGACGTTTTACCCCAGATTTTCCCTGCGTACCTTTAAGCGGTAACGGACGATCAATGGAGTTACGTGCGGCGAAGGCAGCGCAGAGATCTGCAGCTCGGCCATCGGTCTAGATCCAGACTAGTTTCCATGCTCCCTAATGTCACAAGGTTCAAAAAGGACCTTTTGCGTGCTTTGCTGGATGCGATGTCCGATGGATGAGCTGATGGGAATTCTGTCCTGGGCTTTTTGCTCCGAATTTTGCTGCCCGTCGTTCATGTATGTATGCATTGTTTTTGCTTCCTTGCATCATTTTGCATTATCTCGGCCCTTGACCCTTATTTTTTTTCCCCTTTCCCCCCGAAGAAACGGACTGAGTGGTATTGAGCATGACCTACATTGGATCAGAGTTTCTAGGATGGCTCTCTCTTACACGCAATCTCCAAGTTGAAATGTCAGACACACGTCGAGTTACAGAGGATATGAGTAGTAGTATAACCACTACTGTAGTGACAAGACTTTGTTACAGCGTACCTCGGGTATGCGGTCAGTGTGGATCTCTAATTTTATGCCCCCCTCGAGGTGCTACACTAGGCGTCGACCCTCCTTCTCGGGCTCCTGGCTAGTAGCTGAATCAAGTAGATGGTCGGGCTCGAGCTAAACTCAAAAAACTGATCCCAAAAGGTAATGCTTACGAGCCAGGGGTCCACGGGAGTGAGCAAACAAGCTGAAAAGTTACACTGCTTTTAACGGAATCGGTGCTTTTCCTTTAAGCTGTCAAGTGATCTTTGTTACTGGTTTTTTTTTATGCAGAAAATCTGTTCCCTCCCACCTCCACCCCTGTGACGACGACGACGACGACCACTGTTGCTGCTGGTAGAGAAACGCCACATACACACACTCACACTCACACTTACAGACAAAAAGGCGTGCCTATCCGGCACCTGTCCGGCTCATCTCGGCATACAACCACGACATGGCTGAATCGGGGGGATCTCCGATCTTACTCCCAGGTCTGTTCTTTAGACCGTGCTTTTTCTTGCATTCGATCCCCTGCGAACGTGTCTGAGAGCACAATACTGCACAATATTAAGCTCGGGGATTCGAGAAGATGAAGGAACAATCCACGGAAGGCTTTTGTGATATTCTGATACAGTGTGTCACTTGTGCAAGTAAATATGTACTATACTAAGCGAAAATTGCGGCTCGATCAGTAGACCACAAAGAATCTGTCTTGCAGTTGATTACTCGGGCAGATAAATTTGAAGAAATTAGCAAATTGCCCTTTACACGCTTTATAGTTTGCGCACGCATATTCGCTGCGTGGCATTCGACGAGAAAGAAACGTCTGCACAATCATCCGTTGCCGTTGTACACGAGTTTATTTCTCGTTTCAGCGGTTACACGTGTGGCAGGGACACTGCCAAGCACCGACTATGTACTTTGTCGACACCTGCCTACCTACGATCTCCAAGCTATACCTAGTATCCGTCTCGAGTCTCATCATGTAATGTCTGTCTGTATGTCTGTATGTCTAAGTAGGCTACCTGGGTAAGCCTCCATACACGTACATTCCGCACCACCACGCAGCATTCTTCTTCCAGTTTCATGCGTAAAAAAAACACCACTGCTCAACCTAAGCCCTCGATGCTGCGACACCCCTTTTGTGATGGACGATCTGCTACTAAAGCTTGTGCCAAAATGTTCGTATTTGCTTCTTCCCACCAGGCAAGGCCCCGGCTCTCGGCCCACACGGGCTAGACTATACCTAGGTAGTCAAGGTTTATAGCAGCCTGCCCACTGTGACTGACAGCATACATCACGACAGCCGTTACTTGCAAGGCAAATGATAAATACTCACCCGGGCACATTCATCCATATCCTTGGTGACGGGGTATACAATACCATATCATGTATGTACAGGCATTTGGCATCAGCTCGTGCAACAGAAAAGGTGCTGCCTGCCGGGTCTGGCCAAGATTAGAAGCGTCAAGAAAAAACAATGGTGGTGTTCATCATACTCTCCAGATGCAGCCTCTACATATGCCGGGACCGCTGTTTTTTTTTTCTACTGACAGGTGTCTCAGCCGACGAGTTAGCCCTTCCTTCTTTGATACTTGTCAAACATCGTATAGATTGTGTTTGTATGACAGGACAAGGTGGCTCCCATGCACGGGAGTTGAAGACTCCAGATCCGGCCTTGGAAGCGGGACCCTATATCTGTGCTGTATTAAGAGAACCACAAGCCAGGTTTTGTTTTTTCTTTCTCACTCTCTCTTCCCCCTTCACGCCCACGGGTGGTCGCTCTAATCATCAAGTACCTGGGCTGAGGTCCACGAACATCTGATGGGCTTGGTTGGCCCTTGTAAACAGGATCAAGTCCGTGGCAATTAGATAGAGACAATGACAAAATGTCATTTCGGCTTCAAGCCCTATCCGATAACCGCTTACGTGCTTGGTAGGATGCGCCGGGAGCCGCGATGACTTCATCAACTAAGAGCCCACATTCCGGACAATGCTCGAGTCGTTGACCATGTTGACAGTAGATTGCTTTTTTTTTTTTGTACCTCCTCACTGCTCATAACCACGCCATCAACGGTGGATAAGCGAGGCGTAGATTGATTGGAACCGCGTGAACGAGCATGTGCAATTGTTGAATTGGAACATTCGGTGACTAATAGCGAGCAACTGTAATGATACCTGCTGTATAGCTGCTGAGCTCCCCGAGGGTAAGGTACATTGATGATCCAACCGTCCTTCTTTTCGACGACGACGACGGTTACAACCAGACAGATAGAGTTAGAACCCGAGTCATGGTAACTACAGAAGTCGCATTGCAACCAAATCCGAGGAAGTCCTTCCATCCTCACAATTGTCTATATACACAAGGGGCATAGCGCGTCGCCTTTTAATGCTGACCGAACTGGAGAAGCACCATGACAAACCAAGACGAGTCTTTGTCGTCGGCACCTAGGCAATGGGTAGCTCGCAGTAGCATACCGCTAATTAGCAACTGGGACTAACTTGATGTACCTAGGATTAGACTCAACTGTCGTCCGTCCCACGGAACGTTGGAACCCCGTTGGTCTTTTTCTTCTTGCTCCCAGTTGTCGTCTGTATATTTTTATTCTTTGGGGAACTCATCACCGAGGCTACAGCGGCGTCCGGGCCTCCTTTCGCCAGACCCCCGTCAAAGCTGCTGCACGGCATCGCATTTCCAAATATAATTTTTTTTGGTTCTTCTTTTCCTTTCTCGTCATTGTCGTCGTCGTCGTCTTCTCCTTCTTCTGCTACTGCTGCTGCTGATGACTTTTGTCCTCCTCCTCCTCCTCATCACTAGTATCCTTTCAATACGCCGGCTGCCAGGATTCTGCAACTTGTTGCAATCCCCAGCTCGGCCAACCGCTTGGCACCCAGCACATCCATGCGCCGGGTTCCCCCCCTGGCTCACACTCTCTCTGGCTGGGCCATGTGGACACTGGACCATCATCAACCAACCCAGCAGCGCCCACCGACAGGAACCTGCACTTGCACCTCACGCTAGCGGTAACAAGGTTGCTTACCCCATCTCGAGTCCCCCGCGAGAGATACATGAAGAGGGTCCACTCTGTAATCTGAGCCGAAGAGTGTGTCGAGGGGGGGCGCAAGAACCCTTGGGTGATCCCGGTGACCCCAGCCCTGGACACTAGCCACCTCCACATCCGTCCCAATTACGGTGTCGACTCTTACACGCTTTCGGAGGTGAGGGGGGTATGTGTGGATGTGGGACCTACCTTGACCTGGTTGTTGTACGGTAAGGTAGGCAAGGTACTGACTGAGTGATGAGTGGTAGAACGGTCACGTACCTAGTAGGTAGGTTGGTAGGCAGGTAAATGTACATTGGGGACAAATACTTGCAACATGCCTGGGCACACGCTTGTTAGTTAACCTTACTTCATCTCCCCGTCTACCGTGAGACTTTTCTTGGATCTTATTTGTATCCCAGATCTCCATCCATTCGACATTGGGCCCCGTCCCAAACTTAACTTACTGACGACTGACTGACTATACACCTGCTCTAAACCTTAGACAAACCGAACCAGACAAGCAAAGGAGTAAGAACACATACCGACAGGCTCATACAACGACGTCCCTTTTGGTTGGCCTATGATGCACGAACCGCGGGCACCTCTACAGGCTTCTCCAAATTGCTGAGAGCTCACCTACGACTGCTTTTTCGGATCGATTGCAAAGAATCTCTTCACCTGCCCATTTCGTTCGCTTCCCGCCTGCAAATAGCTGCCCGCGAGTCGCCCTGTAAGCCAGCCAGCTAGCCACTACACACTTGCGCAACGGAGGAAAGGGACCAGCCAGCACACAAGCACACACACGTACCTAGGCCCATACCAACTCCAGTTGTAATGCTTGTTTCGACATATGAACCGATGAGTATGAGCGTAGCGCCTATACCTGGAGTCCATCCAGTGGCCATGCCACGGCCACAGGTGGGCATAGAACGACTGCCCACCCGACGCATGAGCAACGAACCTCGAGAGTCAATGAATTGCAAATCCTGTCGGAAGCGCAAGGTTCGTGGGTTTCTTTGTTCTCCCTCCGAATCCACATATCTACTCCTTTTTAACATGAAAATTACCCAAACTGTTGGCTTGCTCATTGAGCCGTCTGACCGATTTTCGCCTTCCCCGTTTTTTTCTGGCTCGTCAATTATCCGGCTCGGTTGGCCTTGCAGTAATTAACCAAAGTCCGCTATAGATTAAATGCAATAGATTGCGGCCATCCTGCGAGGCATGCCAGGTTTTTCAATGCGCCTGTATCTATGGTACGTGAATTGGCCTACGAATTGCGACAAATCAGCCGACTATTTTCTTTTGTCCATTACCATATTTACATTGCATGTTCTAACACAAACACTTGTTTACTGTGTAGATGCTGTACCGAAGAAACGGGGTCCAAAGACTGATGTATTGGAGGCTCTGCTGAAGAGAGTAGATGGACTGGAACAGAAGTTGAAGGAATCGAAAAAGCCAGACGATTCTCCATTGGCGGATGAGCCGCCACTGTCGGCAGCGACCGAGGATGGCGCTTCGAACACTGCAGCATCAGAAACCCAGGAGGATTCGTCCTCAGTGGTCGAGCCACAAGCCAAGCGACTTGCCACGGAAAGTTACCGGGCCAAGGATGGGGCAGATGAATCGGCAGTATATTCTCCCCCAGTCGCCAGCGAGCCATCTCCTGGCGTTCAGACTGAAGCTCTCCTCGACACTTATTTTAGTCGCTTTCATGCCAAACCATTTCACATACTCGACGAGTCTACCATTCGCCAAAGGATACAACTAAATCAGCTGCCTTCATATCTCATACATGCGATATATGCTGTTGGCGCAAGGTGAGTGGTGGCTTCATGGAGAAAGACAAGGGGAAAAAAAAATGAACGACTAACACAGTTCAGATACACGCCCCATCCCAGTGGCTACCAATCAGCCGTGCAACTCAGCGAGGAGTATGCCTCTCAAGCAAGAAAGGAAGTTGATACGGACGAGCCGTCTGTAGATGCACTCCAAGCGCTGCTCTTGTTGGTCACGGCCTTTACCGCGGCAGGCAAAGGCAAAAAGGCTTACATGCTGTTGAGTACGTCGAGTTCCAAAAAGACGACTTTATCTCACCATAAAAACTTGAAATGAATGGCGACTAACTGCTAATAATAGCAAACGCTGTCGGTATGGCCATGGCGCTTGAACTTCACCGCGAAGTGGAATTGAATGCGCGCATCACGCCCGTTGAACGCGAAATGAGAAGACGGCTCTTTTGGACCTGCTACCTTCTCGACCGATTCATGGCATGCGGTTCAAAGCGACCTTCACTGGTCGCGGACAAGACCATTTTGCTGCGACTTCCTTACTGGTCGCCTAGTCCCTCAGCCCTCCCGATCGAAGGCGAGTTCTTCCAAAGCGACTCCAATCTACAACATCTCCAGGGCAGCGGCAAGAAATGCCAGGGGAGCAGTGGCATGCTTATCGACATTAGCCGCATCTTGGGTATCACGAATCGTTATTTAGCAGCCGGTGGCGTCAAGGGCGATTCGCACTTCCCGTGGCATTCACTATCGAATCTCTCCAAGATTCGCCAACACCTGGATGTATGGGCATCGGGGACCGATGATGTATTCTCGAGCGTGGACGCTCTATTTGGACAACCCGACTCCACGGTCCTTGTCTTAAGTAAACTCGTCTACCATCTAATCCACTGCCTCGTCTACAGACCTTTTATCCCCATTGATCTCGCTGAACTGGCGGGTTCGGGGCAGCATCAGTCATGGCAGATTGAAGCGACCAACATGTGCTTTTTGCACGCCAACGCCATTGCGGAATTGGTGGAGTTGGGTAAACAGGCGGCAGCGATCGAGTGGCCTGCATTTGTGGGATACTGTATCTGTACCGCAGGCACAGTACACATTCACGGAGCTCACTACAACAAGACTGGCACCAATGAGATGAGCGCCTTTGCATCTTCGGCCGACTTCTTATCCAGAGAGATGCAGCAGCTGAGCGAACTACGGTATGCCTGGGCCAGTGTTCAGCACCAGCGAGAAACGCTTCAGGGCATCTATAATGCCCACTCTGAGTTGGTCAAGAGTGTCACAAACAACCCCATGCGACACGCCCCCGTCTTCCACCTCGAGGACTTCTTTGATCGCTACGCAAACATTGGCGGGCCGGGAGGCCAAAGCTTCACTTTCGATCCCGCCAATTTAAGCTTGTCGGATGTTGTCGTTGACTTTGCTACTGATACATATACCGGTCACGACTTGTATGCTCCTCGCAACAGCATCGACGCTGGGGCTGCTGCTGCTGGCCTCGTGTCTACTGAACGACCTAATCTCAAGCGCAAAAGCATTGGAGGTGCAAATGGTCGTAAGCGACCGGATATCAGGAACCTCACGCCTCTACAGAGACCGGGTCAGGTACCTCCAACGCCAGGACTTCCCACGCCAGCACACCACTCATTTGCCACTGGTCAAACACCAAATATTATGCTCCAGAGCCCCAGATCTCTGCCTTCCAACGGCGACCAAATGGTACATCACCCAGTACATCTACAACATGATCAGGAGGACGCGGCGGCAAAGGCAGCCGTGGCAGCAGCAGCAGCCGCAGGCTTCTCCCTGTCACCACCACAGCCAGCACATCATCCAGTGCCAAACATGCCCGTCACACCCTTTTCACCCCAGTACAACTTTGCCTCAGTCCACGGCCATACCCCCCTGCCCAACGGGCGCATCGGTAATGACCTCAATAACGTGGGATACGACCCAATGTTTGGGGGTATGCCGACCAACGCCTTCTCGTCGCCGGCAGCGTGGTATGGGGACGAGGACAGGAGACCACCTCCGGTCGCACCAAGTCCTGGCGCGGCGAGTCACAGCGGTAGCGCCGGCACTGGCCCAGGGGAGGAAAAGGATCCGTTCCTGAGCCTTCTGGAACAGCTAGCAGAAAGCGAGAGCGCCCAGGGACAAGGGAACGACCTGGATTTCTTCCTGAACGGCGCCCAGATCTGAGAGGGGGGAAAGAAGGCAGTAGTAGCATGCCTACCTGCTGCTACTATATTTTCTACCCCACCGAAACTACAACTTCACTTCTTTGACCGAGTTGACCCTCCCTAGCAGTGGGTCATCCGAACTTTTAACTTGCATGGTTATTTTTTATTTTCATCTATTCTACATTTTTTTTAGCGGAGCGGCGTTGATCATCACAGGGGGGGCATGGAGGGCTATCAACAGCATCATTTTTGTCGTTGTCGTCGTCATTCTTCTCATCATCATCACATACCCCTTGGGAATTCTGCATTGGTACGAGGTGTTACATGGCGAAAGAACTGCATCCATAACAAAACCAAAAACTTGAGCGCGGTGTTCATGTAGGAAATCCTTTATTATTGTTACTTTGCTTCCCCCCCAAACGACTTGAGGAGGGGGACTCACGAGGTTGAAATGGTGGCTTTTACGACGCTTGAAAATTCAAGATACAAGATGTCTTTACATGTACAATATAGGAGTTTTGAGGCTCAATCAAACTAGATACATAGTATCATTCAATGAATGACATGAGACCAAAGACAAATTTGGCGGTGAATGGCCACCTACCTACCAGCCTAGGTACTTCCTACCTGTCTACAGTATTTCATTCCTTTGCCTATGGCGGCGCACTGCACAGCGCTTTGGTTTCTGGTGCTGTCTCGCTTATCTCTGAGCAGCGCAGGGTATGTGTACAGAGTATACCTTACAAGACTCGCTAAATACTGCCTGCCGGTAGTCTCAGACCCACCCAAGTAGGTAGTGTAGTAATTCTCCTTTCTCTGCGGACATCGACGGATTCCCAGCGTCACATTGCAAACGTCAAGCTCTCTCTGGCCAGCTGTAATGGAGTTACTGGAATGCGAGTAGGGATTTAGTCCTCTAATTTTTATTCACATGCCGAAAATCCCATCGAGACAAGAAGAAAAGTGGATTCTGTGCCTGTCCAGGCTCTGGAACCAACAAAAGGATGAGACACTTGACTGGCCCCCGTAATCTGACTGACCCATGGTACCGGCTTGTCCACAGACAAGCAGGGGGGTCGCGCTTTTTCTTTTCTTCCTGCCCTGGGATTCTAGTGTATCCGTACCGTAACATCGGTAGTGGGAAAAGGCCTATGTCCAGACTCCAAACTGCCATTTGTCCACTTATTTCTTGAACGACCGACTTTGATGGTTGCAAAATGGGTTTGACATTCGAACTGTCACGGAGTCCCCGGCAGGATGCAACGAATAAATTGAAAGAAACGGATTTAAAAAAAATAAAAAAAAATAGGAACGCATCCAATGTTGGACACCGCCGGCATTCCCTTGCCCAACCCTGAACGGTACATAGGACATTCTCCCCCGGCTAGTATGCTTCACTAATAGTCCTTCCTTCGAAGTGTGCCGCTGACCCCTTCTTAATTTCCTATGCATCTCACGTCACTTGTTTGTTAAATGATTCTGGAAAAAGAGTTATCATGATGCTACCCACACGCGAAAGCAGAGAAAGACGTCACTGACGCCCTTCATTTTCTTCCTCGACACTTTTTTCTCTTAGCGCAGCCCATGCAAGAAAATGACACCCGTCAACGCATCCCCCCCAGGCTTTGTGACCGCTGAATCTCCAACCCCCAGCCCGTCAACCTCCTCTCCCCCCGGGCAACTTGCGTCCTAGGTAAAGGCGGTATAACGGGCCGTGTACTGCGGATGGCGTGTACAAGGAAAAGAGGGAGGGGGAGAGCTGACAACCTGTCCAAATAAAAAATTGGAGAAAAGGAAAGTTGGAGAAACATGTACACCACAACCTTTTAATGGACACGCCAAGCTTTTCTCATCTTTGGGGAAATACCTGGTCCCCTTTGCTCCTCCCGGTTGGACTGGTTCCTGAAGCCCAGCAGGCCAGGCAACATCTTTTGCCCCTTGGGAGGTGTTGTTCTTGATCAGTGGTGTTGGAGGGAAGGGGGGGGAGGAGAATGCATTGCAACCACATACAAGCCTGGCCAACACTTGCATCTGTCTTTTCCCTTCCATTTCTCTGCCCTCCAATAAAGACGCGCTGATGTCAGTGGTGTGCTCAAAAGTATTGCGAATGGGCAGGGCTGACAGCAAGAACTGGTCCTTATCTGATTGGAGTTTGGTTTTCTTATCCAGGTACAATCATTTTGTACCTTTTCTCTTCTTCTTAATCTCTACAATATGCCGTGTGTTGTTGCTCACGTCCGATGTTGGCTGCTTGTATAGGCTGTAGGAGAAACAGAAGCCCCGGGGGGGTTCGGCAGTCAGAGGAAGAGAGTGCTGTTGCATCGCCAAGTTTCAGCAACTCGGCATCTTTATCTTTCTGCGCTACCTGCTTATGCCATCATGACAGATGCCCACCCGGTGGACTCTGGCTCTTGGGGACGGTCAGGCAGTGTGGGTTCATGTGACCATATATGTGGGTGGTATCGTAGCTATAGCCCACGACTCCGGTGGCCGTGGCGTCATTTCCATACCGGAAAGTGATGTATATGGTCTCGCATACCATGTTGACACACAGCCAGTCGTCTGCCTGCAGAGAGCAAATGCATGAGCCTCATAAAAATGCCATTATACATGGGTGAGAGCTTCATACGCAAAGCCCGTACCATCTCTAGTTCCATGCTACTTTGAGAGGTTTGACCTAGGTTCTCCTGTATCGCATCGCTATACTTGACGCTACATGACATAAACCTATAGCGATGAACAATGGCTCGGAGAGAGAGAGAGAGCCGCAACACAAGTTGCACAAAGTTCCAGTGATTTCTATGCACATGCAAGTATTGCCTTACCTGTGTTTGTATGTCTCAAGCCCGTAGACATGTATATGGATGTGAGGGAGCGGCACATTTCCTTCGCGGCACATTTTTTCCGCCGAAAACTCACCTTCAACAGATATTGTATTCTTCATTTCCTTGATATAGAAAAGAAAGGGGGAAAAAAAAGAGGGGGAGGGGAGAAGAGAAAGAGCAAGAAAGAAAGGGAGTTATAAACTGCTGTCCACAAGAGACGCCTTCTAAAGTCGTACACGCTAAACATATATCCCAAAGATGCCGGCTGGATTGAGATATTTACTCGATCCGGCCACGCTTCTAACCAATAGTAGTGGGATAGAGGAACACAATCATTTGTCCTCTTGTTGGTTTTATCTCACCCCTTCTTGACTTGGCTAATCGGCGAGATGAAAACCTTGTAATCACCATACATGGTCTTGCATCATGTTCTGTGCTACAAAGCGCATTCTCCCTATTGCAAATTTGCCACAAAAGAAGAAGAAGAAGAAAAGCCAAACCAGTTCATGGAGGCGTCTTAGCAATAGATGACCTTGCGCCCGTGAGGGGGGAGTAGTCACCAAATGAAGTATTGCCGTCCAGGGCAGGAGGGGCTTCTGAGCTTGAAGATCATCAGCGACAGACATCAAAGTTCGGCGCTCGTTTGTGAGCGCTTGTGTAAGGTAAGCGGCCGAGATCGAGCCGTGCATTGTCACTCTATGACTTCATTTGATCTTCTGAATCTTGAACCAACTTCCCGAGAGTTGGGCCGATCCCGCTGGTTCGCAAAAATGCCAGGTCAAATAGGTATGAAGCCAGTCTCTTTTCGAGCATGTTTATCGTCCGCAGGCCAGTTCGATTTCTCTGTGTTGAAAAATTCTTCCGAGTCATCATACCATGACTCAAATCCCGATCACAATGCCGAATACACATGACTCAATATGCCATATTATTCTTCCCCTGTAGCAAGTACAATCTTTTAAACACAACCTTGCACCAACTTTAATTCTATTCCAGTATTACATTAACAACAGAGAGCGGCAGAATGCCGAGGCCGCCCGCCGAAGAGGGATCCTAGAAGTCGTAGTTGGAATGGAGACGCGGTATAGCAAATGAGAGGCACGGTTTTGCTCAATAGGGCAGGTAGTTCTCGGCCCGACACCGAAACGTGTCAAGACGTGCTCCAAAATTGGAGGGCTCGTCCACTCGGGCAGGGACAACACGAGCAGCAAGGAACTCCTAATAATCTCCTGACTCAGCAAATGCTTACATTGGAATAAGGTGCGGCTCGTTATCTTGGCAAACGTGGGGGGATGCCTAGAGTTCCAATACATGTTTTCTTGTGCCATTGGTAGAATCTGGAAGGTCACAGCTTCTTGTGGCTGAGACACGATATCATGGGCATAATTTTGCGTGATAATGATGGAATACGGACCATGGTCTCATTTTGTTCTGTTTTTGGCTTGCGTTGGCTCTAGAAGGCTCTTGGAAAGCATCAAGTTTGGAGGTTGTCCAGTCACCAGGTATCTAGCTATACTCTTGGCGAAGTCTAATATTGCAAAATATGGTATCACGATTCCACAAGCATAGCCTTGTACTCATGAAAAGAAAAAGAAAGCTCAATACTTTTAATGTGTGACGTGTGTCTGTCTTTTATTGAAGTAACGATAGTGTTTGGACTCCTGACTGGATTGACCTTGAGCTTAGTATTCCCACAGAAAATATACCAAGATACCATCTCCTAGACCAAGATTCCTGCGTGTACCCATCACTACCAACCAAACTGCTCACAGTGAAGTTCCACGGCTGGGCCATCCTTTGTAATGAGACCAGCAGCTGTGTTCCTGACAAGCCGCATCAAACCATCCGGTCCACAGGCAGCGATCAGCACCCTCTTGTCCTTGTCAACACACTTGACCGCCTCGCTGATCAGTACAGCCACATCGGGCCGCCCTTGCTCGACGGGGAGATCAATGGATCCGGTGGTGACTGTACGTTTACCCATGCGACAGACAATGGCCCGGATATCGTCCTTTTCGGGGTCTTCGGTCGGCGGCCGGATCATGGCCGGCAGATCGCTCGACTTGACAAGACGCTCGTCCATGTCCGTTTCGTAGACGCGGGTCATGGGAGAGAGGTCAGCCGATGTGAGAGAGTTGATGGTCGGCTGAAGGGATTGCTTAGATGCCTTTTCCGTGACAACCGAGTCTTTGGGGGCAGCCTTGGTGGTGTGCAGGCGGAGGGCGACTCGTGACCCGTGAGTGTGCGTGCGTATCGCATCTAGGTGCTCTGAAAACCAGGAGAGGTTATCTGGGCACAATTTCATCAGCAACAAAAATATCAAATACTTGGTACATCATGACGAACCTCTATCCCTGACTGCCCAGATGAACTCAATCTGTTTGTCCGAGTCGGCTGTCATCTTTTGCAGCATGTTGGATGCCATGCCGAAAGTGAAGCTTGCCCCTGAGCCACCAGCGATCAAGACCACCTTGTCAAAGTCGTAGGGATCTGGGAACGTTCCATAGGGGCCCTCGAGCGACACCTTGAGCGAAGCGCCGGGGTTCTTTCGAGCATACTCGGCAAGGTCTCGAGTGAAGCCGCTGTAAGAGTTGACGATAAGTTCCGCCGGTGAAGTCGACACAATGGTGAAGGGGTGGGTCTCCAAAAGTCGGACCTTGGGAAGCCAGACATAACAGTGCTTGCCAGGTACAGCCCGGGGAAGAGGCTTTCTAAGCAAAATCTGCGTCCCGCCGTTGGGCAGAGGGTAGACGGTCGCCTCGTTGTTGATACCATTATAGATGAGCCGAGAGAAACGAATGAGCCGATCGGAGAGCCAGATGGCGGCCGTGATGCAGGCAATGATGCCCACCTTTTCGGCACTGAGTTCAGGTCGGTGCAACGCCAGCGTCACCACCATCATGATGAAGAGGATAATGTGGAAAACGTAAAAGAGTTCGTACTTGAAGCGTCGCAATACCACGGCTTCAACACCACTGGCAAACATGGCAAATCCCAGCACGATTCCGGCAGTAACGATGTCTTCATGCATCAAGTCCCACTTGCCTGCACCAATAAAGTATGCCGAGTATATCGAGGCGTGGAGGATCATGTAGAGAATGGTCGCATACCCCGCGACTTGATGAAGAGGGTTCAGCCGCTCGTATGAATATGAAGTCAGAATGGCTAGTGGTGTATTCTTGAGTCCTAGGAAAACCACCAGGGCAAAGTTTGCAGCCGACATCCTATCAACTGCTTAGTCGGTACTTTACACATTAAGCACTATGATCTACTCACCATCCAAAACGAGCAGCAAAGTTTGTTGGTCGACTGAAATCAAGTCCAGTAAAGGCTAGGGCGAGGTTTATCGCGGTGTAGACCAAGTACAAAATGGCATGACCTGCTGATAGAAATCCGGGAATCTTGCGAATAAACAATCGTCGGAACGCTCTATGAGTCGCCTGATCAGTAAAATGACTTTGTGATATAACCCAGGTTACATACCTCGTTACAGCTGCAAATGGAGACAAGACTTTGCTTATGCCTGCCGGAACATGTCGTTTGTTGACGAGGACTCTTGTCCAGTGTCCTATGATGAAAATGGCTATGATTCCGCATATGGATGCGGCATAGTATTCGGTCGCCAGTTCGCTCGCATGTTGCCTGGCGGCAAAGAGACCTGGATTGGCTGAAGGGCCACTGCCTCCGCCAGGAGGGCCGTGATTTCCTGGCTGCGGAGGAGGCGGAGAAGTAGGAGCTCCAGACGTCACCTGGAGGTGTTGATCCATTGTTGCAGGAATTGATGTAGAACCGATGATCAAGGCGTTTTCTACAATCCGGACTATCACCAGCGGTGTTGAATACAGATAGTCAGTTATAAGCTGTTGGAAAAGTTTCTAGGTAGCGGGGTCCAAGTGAGAGGCGAGGTCTCGGGTCATGTATAATATGCGTTCAGCCTATCTGAAAAGATTCGGCAAAGCAGCAGATCGATCAGTTTTCCGCCATGGGCCCACTAGAGAGTACCTACTCTTTGCTATCGCGAGATGATATCAATGAACACATTCTTGGGGTCACTTCATATGCGGGTCTGTGGACTGGCACCGCTACTGCTCGTACTGCTGTGGCCACTCTGAGTTGGTGTCATATAGGCGGAATCAGGCGGACAAAGTGGTTGCAGTCAAGTTGTATCCCATGAGTCCAGCCGCTGCTGTGAGGCGTGACGCAGATATGATTTCCGATATTGGATATTGAAAACATGGCCGGCATATCTGGGCGTCTAGACTCGAGGACCAGGTACTCACAACAACTCACCATCACCCACTTTCAATGAGACATGGCTGCCGTGGTCCTGCTAAATGCGCTGGGCGGAAAGCCGCAGCCTGAGGGAGGGAGTATAGCAGTTCGGCGGGACCCCCGGCGCCGATGCCAAGAAAAAGGCCGAATGCAGCTTTGCACCTCCCCAGCTACCAGTCGTTGTTGCGGACATTGATTGCGACTTACCTAAACCGGCCAGAGAGCCCGCCCAAGCTCAACCCAAGGGTAAAAATATACCGGCGAGTTCCACGCCTTTCGGCAGTGAGCATGGGTTCCCCAGACGTGCTACTTTGTAAGACTGACAAAGCATGGTAGCGAAATGCTCGAACTTGATCCAGAAGTTACTCGGCTGCATGGCTGGCAGTAGAGTTGGGAGGAGGGAAAAGCTGGGCGACCATACAAGTGACGATTATGGTACGGGTACGGTACGGTATGCAACACCAAGATTGGTAAAACCCCAACAGGGTAAGAAGCAGCCAACTTTCTCATCTGGCTAAATTCTCTGTGATTTAGCCTCCGCATGACACATGACCCAAAACATCTTTGAAGCTCAATCCGGCAGATTCTTGAGTCGCTGGCTATCCAGATTCGAGCTGAATCAGATGGAAACGAATTAATTGTCTCGAGTAACGACCGCTCGGTTATGTCCAATACGCCCTGCAAACGTGGCAGCACCATAACGCAATGCAAGCTTATTTTAACTGACTGCCACGATTATAACAATGGCGGCATATCTATTTGCAAATTCTGTGTATCAATAGGTAGGGATGCAGGTCTCTCTATCTAGACCTTCCTCTCTATGTCATTACCAACAGTTGTCAGGATTGACTAATCCTTGGCGATGTGTTATATGATACCACCTTCAACACGACATGATAATTGATAACACACTCACTCTATCATTATCACGGCCGAGGCTATGGGCATCGGCTCCGTGCTTTGCAAAGCGCAGTAGTATCCTTGGTAATATGTGCTCTCTGTTTGGTGCAACCTTTTTTCAGCTACACTCTACCTGTTCTGTGGGCGGCCTGTGGAGCTTCATCCCAATCATACCGTTGCCTCCCGATTCGTTTTCAGCTGCAGGAATTCTCAAAATGATTCCTGTTTTCTCAGATTAATCAGCCAATAGCTGGTGCAGATAAATTGATATATGTGCACAGGGCCGTTGTCACTTGGGATCCTACTATCGAGCATGAGACTGGTGTAATTACACATGCGAGGGCCGTGGCCCTGTTATCAATTTTCCTCTCAGCGATCAAGGCGGTTTGAGCACATCATCGCGGCGCCTTACACAGTAAATCTGAGGGGGAAAAAAGAGGGAAAAAAGAAATGAAAGGCCAAGATTAACGCGTCGCAACACAGATGGGGCTTGCAGTGTCTAGAATTCCTTACAAATACACGCAAATGCTTGGTTTACATGCCTTCAACTTTGCAACCTGCCAATCCTGGGTTCGGGTAGTGACTGATATGATCCCTGGCAGCGTTTCGCCATCATCACCCCTGTCTGACGTGCGTCTGCAACCTTAAATTCTAGAGATCTCGTCAATCTTATCTTTCAGCTTTCAATGCTCTACTCGACTGATGGTACAAGGAAGGCGATATTCTCGAGGCAAACAACGGTATTGAGGGGAGTAGATGTCGAGTCCTAGAATCTTCTCATGTCCGGCAGCAAGAGTCATCTGGATTGCAATTTAGAGCAATCTAGAACATACCAAGGAGCCCCCCCACCGGACTTTGTGACTTTGATGCAACATCCCATACCAATCCATCTTCTTACTGGCCACATCCTCCAGTCCTATATCTTGACAACTGTGGCTTGCTTGTTGTGCCTTTGACGGGAGAGGGATGGGTTCACAGCTGCATGCCCTGGGGCGCATATATGTGTCACGGGCCACGGAAGCTGTGATATTTTGTTCCGTCACCGGAACTGGTTGTGATTTGTGGGATGATTGAATTTCTTGTGCAGGTATCCGAGCTGCTCGTCTATATCATGGACACATTAGTCCCTGGTGTTGGTAAAGGGTTGACAGGGCGCTGAAACTGCAAAACAGAGAAATAATCTCGCGAAAGTGACAGATCAAGTCTATCGGATAATCTGACCTAGAGATTGCATCTGCTGAGCACGTTTCCCTGGATGGCGTCAACGCATTGCATAGACCGTAAATGACGTCGGCAAGTGTTGCTAAAGGAATACAGAATATATATCAAATCACACAACGCGATTCACCAAGACTCATCCAATAGAAAGATATATAGGTAAATATCTAGGGAATCACCCATGGAAGACTGGCCTATGAGTGATAAGGTATGGCGATGCCTTTACAACTCACCCTTTAGGCCGGTCTCAATCTCTTCAAAGACTTTCAGTCCCTTCCGTCCCAGAGCAGTACCAACTCCCACAGCACAAGCGCCAACACTCTTCATGCGTTTATACCCCGAAGCATCTTCGACTCCACCAATGCCAATAATCTTTACATCCTTGGTCTCGGCAGCTTGATCCAGCATGTTCCGCATCGTGGCGACATTGCCGAGGGCCAAGGGGTGAAGGGCGGCGCCGGCCATGCCGCCAATACCTGGCCCAGGTAGTTTCGGCCCTCCAGCCTGTGAGTCGATGTCCGAAAGCACCAGACAAGAGCCCAAAGTATTTGTTGCCGTCAGGAAGGTGACGGGGCAAGGCGCGCCCTGAGATCGCAGGGCCGCGACAATGGCTTCAAACTGGCCGGCGTGGGTATACGGCGGCGTCTTGAGGCCAAATGGAATCCTCGGGATCTCACCACCGGAGATGATCTCCCGCAGCGCTTTCAGATACAGCATCAGCATGTCCCCAGAATAGGCCGGCGGCGGTGCGTTGGGGATATTGGGACAGCTCAGGTTGATCTCGACCGCCAGAGGCATCTTGACCACCTTGCTGTGGTCCGCAACAAGACGGTAGCATTCCGCCACCTCGTCGGGGGACCCAGTAACGGAGACGATAATTAGCTTTGTTGAAGGTTCCGACAGATCATCCGATAACGCCTTGATGTAGGATAGGTACTCCCTGAGTAGATAAGGGCTATAGCCAAGGGTGTTTAGGCTTGATGTTTCCTCGTCCTTGACATTTTTCAAATCCTCGTTGGGTGCGTGTGTCACGGTGTCAAAAAACGTGTATTGATGAACAGCGGCATCATGCTTGAAGCCATTTAAAAGAGCGGTCCGCGTCGTGATTGCGCCAAGTGAGGGGCACTTGAATAATGCCTCCAAGTCACGATGTGTCGTTGCCCACGGGTTGGCCGAGTTTAACAGTGGCGGGTTGATCTCGATGCCAGGTACTTCCGAATCCATCTTTTAAATATCAAATTGTATAATTCTGGGTTGAAAAATGATGCCGTAAAATGGTAAGCAGTCTTAAATGCCTAAGTACATTTGCAAAGTACCTAAGTGTCAGATGGTGGATTATGGTTCCCATATACTGGGGTATACTTGAGCACACGGGTCAACCCTATGGTATTTAGATAGATATACGGGACCTCCCGGGGATTAGCCGGGGCCACCCAAATAAGCGTATATTTTATCAAAACTAAAAAGCGCAAAATATAAATTAATATATTATATAATTAATATTTATATTAGATTAGTTTAAACTTTAATAAAAAAGCATTATTTTAATTAATAATTAAAAATTTTAATATTTCCGCCGAAGCTATAAAAATAATAATTACGAAAAAAGCCGGAATCGGCCTAACGGCATCGTTAAAAATAACTTCCGATTAAAATAATTAGAAATATACGTTTTAAATTTAGGCATAAATTACCGGATTAATTAATTATTTTAAAAATAAAACGATTTTAATTAAAACCTTAATTAAACCGGATATAAAAAAAACCAAATATATAAAAACCGCGGTAGCGATTTTTAAAGCTATAAACGAAAGCAACGATCCGAATATTTAAAATAAAAAAAACGGGAAATAAATAATAACGGATTTTATTAAAAAAAATTAGAAATCGTTTAATTTTAATTATAATTATTATAAAATAAAAAAGGTTATATACGCTAAATAATATACGGTAATTAAAAAAATTATAAAATAAATAATTATTACGATTTTTTTAAATTTTTTTTTACGTATTATTTAATTAATAAGCCTTTATATAAATAATACGAAAATTTAAAGGCTCGCTATAGCAAATTAGCTATAAATAATAAAAAAAAAGCAAAAAAATAATATTTAAAAGTTTTTAAATTTCCGAAAATATTAAAAAAAACTACTAATTAAATTAATAAATAAAAAATAATTATAGCGAAAGCTTAGGCAAAATAAATAATTAAAATATAAAATAATTCGGTTTAAATTATAAATTTTTTAAATATAATTATTTTAATTATATTATAATAGGCCGCTTTTTATTAAATTTATAAAAAATAAAATATTTTAAATAGGAATTTAAAATATTAGGTAATAAATAATAATTTCCGTAAAAGCTTAAGCATTTAATAGCCGATTAGGCTAAAAATTAAAAAAAGCGCTTTTATAATTTACGCTAATAAAGCTAAAAAATAGCTTTAAAACGGATAAAATAAAAACGCTTATTTTATTAAAAATTAAATATTTTCCCGATTAAATACGGCTAATTTATATAAAGGAAAAAATAAACGAATTATTTATAATAAAAAGCAAAAAGATATTAAATACCTTATTTATTATTTTTTTTATGCTTTTAATTTATATTTTTACGTATTCCTAAAAAAAGCCTATTTAAATTTCGTTTTTAAAAATAAAATATAAATACGAATAAATAAAGCTTTTAAAAATTTTTTTAACCTATAAAAATAAATTCGTAATATAAAAAGGATTAAAACCAGCCGAATTAATATATTACGAATAACTAAAAAAAAATCGCTTTTAATTAATATAAATTAATAAAACGGACGATTAATAATAAACGTATAAAGCAATTTTATAGCATTTATAAAAAACTATTTTTTACGTTATTTAATTATTTTAAATTTAGCGATAACGATTTTAATTATAAATATAAAAAAAAGGCTTATTAATTATAAATAAGCTTTTAATTACAATTTTATCTAATTAAGCGATCGGAAATTATTTATTTATAAATATAATATAATAACTATATAACTTGGATTTAAAATATTATTATTAAATAATATAGCTTATTATTTTAAGCTATTAATTATATTAATATTATTCCGTTAATTATAAAGATAAAAATATTATTAAATTAATAAAAACGATTTTATAATATTACGCAAAAAAAATAAATTTTTAATTAATATATTTTAAAACCGATACGGATAATACGTCCTCGAATATAAACCTTACGAATTACCTTTAGCGTTATTTGCTATTTACCGGAAAAAATATATAATATAAATAAAAAAGCTATTATTAACTAAAAAAATTATATAATAATATTATAAAATAAAATATTTAGGCCCGGTAGTTTTCGAATACTTTATTTATTTATTTTAAGGGGTAAAAATTAAAGGACTAATTATAATAAAATATAAAACCTATATATTTGCAAAAATTACGCGTTAATTACGGCGAACGCTACGGTTAATTAACGAAAATTATAGCGAACGATTAGCTATAAATTTTTATAATTATATTAAAAAGATCGAAAATTATATATCCTAAATATTAATTATTTATCGGTAAACGGAATATATATAAAATTATTATTTTACGGAAAAAATTACGGTTATATTAATTAACGCTTTCCGATTATTTTTAGGTATAATAAAAACCTAATATAATATTAAAATTAAAATTATCGAATACGATAACGAAATTATAAAAATTAAATAAATAATAAAAAAATACCTCGAAAATAAATATATTAAATTTAAACCTTTAGTATTATATATATAAGCCTAAAATAAAACTGCTAAACGTTTAAAAGGTATAATTAAAAAAAAAACGGATAATACGCATTAGCGTAAAACTCCTTTATTAATTTTAGCCCGAAATTAGCAAAACCGCGGTATATTTATATAATTATACGCCGAATTATAATTCTTAATAATATATATTATATATAAAATTTTATAAAATAATTGCGAAAGCAAAAAAAAATTCTAAATTTAAGCTATAAGCCTAATTAAATTTATTTTAAAATATTCGGATATAAAGCGTATATAATAACGCTAACGGTATAATAAAAATTTAGCCGTTTATAGCGATTAATATTTAAAGCATAAATAAAATACCTAATCGGATATAAATTATTTAATATTTATAAAGTTTAGATTTTTAATTAAAATAAATTAATTAATACGAAAAATATAATTATAAACGAAAAAAAATTATATAACGGAAAATAAAATATATTTAAAAACGAATTTTTAAATATTAATATTTAGCTTATCGCCGATTTCGTAATTAATTATATAATATTTAAAAACGAAATTTTATAAAAATTAAAAAATAAAAATACCGCCGCAAAAAATATTTTATTAAATAATAATTAAAACGATTAAAAGGAAAATAGTAATTAAAAAAATAAAAAAATAGCGCTAAATAAAAAAAATAAATAATACCCTTTTATTACCGCAAAATTTACCTTTTAAATTTTATTATAAATATTTTTATTAATTTTATTAATATATAATATAAAAGCGATTACGATTAAAAATACGGCGTTATTAAAAAAAGGACCTAAAATAATTTTATAATAAATAGCTTTTTTAATTAATTATAAAGCCGTTTTTAAAATAAAATAAAGCAATAATTAAAATAATAAAGCGAAGTTAAAACGCTTTTTTTATTAAAAAATAAAAATTTATAAAGCGGAAATCCTAATTTTTTTTAAATAATATTATAAATTATATTATTATCCGTTTAGCAAATTATTTTTTTTTAAATAAAAGCTAATTATTTATAAAATTATAAAAAATATATAATTTTAGACCGAAATTAATAAAAAGGATTTATAAATAAAAAGCAAATAGATTTTTAATTATATATAAGTATATATATATAAATTCGATAAATATAAAAAATTTTAAAAATATAAAGTAAAATTCGTCGTTTACGGTAATTAATAAGCGAAATCCTAAAATTAGGAAATTTACGCGGCTATATTAGCTAAAAAATTATTTCGCACCTTAATCGCGATTATAGCGAAATTCGATTTTAAATTAATATAATATAACGTAGTAAACGCGTTTATATACGCTTTTATTAATTAAAATATATTTATAAAAATACCGGATAAATATCGAAAAAAAAACGCTATATTATTATTAAATAAAGCATTTTATAAATTACGAATATTACTGTTATTATAGCAAAAAAAATTTATAAAAACTTTAACCGAAATCGGTTATACCTAAATATTATATAAATTTTGCGTATTTATTAAAAAAAAAATGCTAATTTTTTTTACGTTAACGATATAATTATTGTATATAGGAATAAAGATAAAAAAGCTATTAATTATTTAATATAATATTTTATAAAAAAATATAAAATTAATAATAATAAGCTAATATAATAATTCCTTAAAATAAAAATAATTAAAAATTATATATTTAAAATAATCTAATTTTTTTTAAAAGGCTTATTTTAAAAAAAATCGCTAAATTTGCAAATAAAAAAAAATTTATATAACGCTAATAAATTGCGAAAAATTTATATTTCGATTAATTATAGCGTTTCCTTACGAAATATAAAAATATTAAAAAAAATCGGATTATTGCTATTTACGGTTATATTTATAAAATTAAATATTGTATTCGTAATAGCTAAACTAATTTAATTTTTTAATAATTTAAATTAAATATATTAAAAAGCTATTAATTAAGCTTTAATTTATTTAATTAGTATTAAAAAATTTTCGCTTAAAATTGGAAAATCCTTTAATTTAATAGTTATTAATAACGTATTATTTGCTAATAATAGTATCGATCGCAAAAATACCTAAGTATTCGCTATAAAGCTATTCGGAAAATTAATTAATTAGCGATTAAATAAATAAAATATAATTATTATTTTTATTATAAAAGCTAAATTATTTATTTTAGTGTAAATTGCTAAAAAAATATTATTCGTTAGCCGATTATTAAAAGAATTATCGATATAGCTAAATAATAATATTATTATTATTAAATATAATAATAAGTAAATTATTAATTTAATTAACGCCGAAATCGCGTTATTAAAAATAAAACTCCGTTATATAAATATTTATAATTATTAGTTACGATAAAAAGCCTAAAAAGGAAGGGTTAAAGTTATTTATAAACCTTTAAGTAAAATAATAGCAAATGGATTAACGAAAAATTTATTAATAGGCAAATAGCAAAATTTTTTATA